GCGGCCCTTCGCGGCGCTGGGGCTGCCCAAGGCCCCGCTCCTCCTCGGCCAAAGCCGGCGGGATTGTGCCATCCCACCGAAGCGGCGCCCGGCCGGCATAGTTAATATTTCGTGAGGAAACAACCCGTTTCTTTGTGAAATTCACCGTTTTATCCTGGCAGCTGATGGAAAAACGATTTCTTTTTAAACGCGCTGGGGCACGGGGAGCCCTCAGGGGCACGGGGCGGAGCGCGAGGTCTTCCTCCAAATCCAGGGGGTCACTTTGGTCCCGGGGTTTTCCCGGGTTCCTACTCCAGGCTCCCAAACCAGGGGCTCCCCCCTTACCCTGCGTTTCTCTAATTGAAACCCAGGCGCCCTCCGCAGGGAAGGTTAATTGAAGCATCGCTTTGGGTTCGTTAACCCTCTCAGGGGCAGGGATTTACGGTAAAACGCGGGAGTCAGGGAAGGGAATTTTCCTTTTTAGTGTGAAAGTTTGGGGGGTTGGTCCTGCCTGTGTTACAGACAAGGGGAGAGCGGCGTCTGTCACGGCTGGCGCTGGATTCGGTGCAGAACGACAGGGTCCCACCCCCCCTGCCCCAACCTCGATCACCGCTTGGTGCGAGTGATGCTCCTCGGGTGTTGATCAGCGCAGAGGGGCAGCAGAGCCCCTCGCCCCCACGAGGGGGATGTAATGATCCAAGACAAACACGCTTTTTGTCCTGTTTTATTACTTCACATCCCATTTTCTAGTCCCAGCTCGAGCCAAGTGCAGAGATCAGCTGCAGCATTTGCACCTCCCCGTTTCTTGCGTCCTGGCACGACATGGTCACAAACTGATGATCAAAAACCCAACTTGTTTTCACACAAACCCCCCAACAAGCTCTCCGAAAGCCCACCCTGCTCCGTCAGGATTGCCCGCATTCTGCAGCCTCGGAGAAGCCAGAATCCAACTTTATTTTTTTTTCCCCCACAACGGCTTTATAAACTGGGTATTTTCAGCAAACCCCGAGAGTTCAACCCTGAACAGAAGAGCCTGAAACTGCATCTCCCAGCCGAGCGCCACGCC